ACGAGCTGAGTCGAATGACACCAAAATCATCGTGATTGAACAAGATTAGACAAAGTTATGACACAAAAAACAAAAAACCTAAATCTATGGAGCGTCGGCGAGGCGCTTGTGCAAAACCCCGCGCTTCGCGCGGGGTTTTGCGGCACGCGCCTCGCGGGGAGATGGGTCTGGGTCAGTAACATAAACCTATTCCTATCTCCCTTGCTCTGGACGTATTTGGGGCCTCCGTAGCATAAAAAATCTCCACAGATGCCATAGGTAAGGAGCTAAAAGAAAAGATCATAACTTTGTTCAATCATGTCTGATTTTGTTGATTTTGGTGTCATTCGACTCAGCTCGACGAGCTCTTTCGAATGAGGTATAATTTGCATATTCGAATTTTTTACCCCAAAATCGAGCTTGGTCCCCCCTATGGTTTTTCGATTTTCAATCGCCTGTATCTTTGCGAGTTTTCGCGTCCCGCAGAAAATTCTTGCATATTTGAACTCAGCTCGGCGAGACGAATCGAATGGTATATATTATGAGTTCCGATCTCGGTGGACCTATACTAAAGTACAGCCAAATTTAGAATGAAAAGAAGATTAAACCTTCTATTTAAAGGCATCTTTGGAAAAGGCGCTTAAATTTTAGTTATTTAAATTAAGGTTGAAAAGAAGATTAAACTCACACTTTTTACTTCCAACAGGAATGAGGCTGGCTCCAGTCATCTGGATTTCGGCGGGCGCTTAAATTTTAGTTATTTAAATTTAGAACGAAAAGATTTGCCATAATGCAATCCATTGAACATGCTTAAATTTCAGTAAGATAAACAAGAAAAAAATTAGATAAATATGTATAACTGAAAAAACAAAAAATTGAATAAGATCTAATGCTTCTCTCATTGTTTATTTATTTTTTGTTAAAAATTTGTAAAATTTGTGCTTATTTAAAAACAGTAATTTTATTTTAAAGTATTTCGATCAAGGTGACCCCTCGTTAACAAGGGATTTGACATATTTTGATTTTTTGTTCTAGTTTTTCCCTATATTCACTTATTTTACTATTTTAAAATTTTTGGTATATTGTAGATAGAATTGAAAAAATATAGAAAAATATAGGGAAAAAATTAAAATGAATGAATGAATTAGATGAATTAGAAAAAATAAATGAATTAGAAAATGAATTAGAAAAATAAAAATAAAATTTTATAAAGGAATTACATATTTAAAGCTAAATTACAAAAATATAAATTCCTTTTTTTAAACAAAGATGTGACTTCTTTTTTCTTTTTTTCCACTTTATATTTACATATTTTTTAGTGATTAAATCATTATTTTTTAAGAAAAACTTTAGTCTTTCAACGCTTTACTTTTGTGTTTTCAAAACACTAAAGTAAAGTACAGCCACTCAAAAAAGGGGGAAAAATAAGTTACAAATATTAAAATAAAAATAATTAAAAGTTGGAATAAAAAGTCGAATAATTAAAGGTTTCAACTTCTATTAAAAGCTTGATAGTAGTCTGAATTTTTCAAAGTTTATTTTTTTCATTTAGTTAAATTCATTGTTTCTGGTGTTTAACTCTTGGTTCTACTAGTGTGTGAAATTCTTAGCCCAAGAGCAGGGTGGCCTTTTACCCTATTTATAGAGGATTTTCCCTATTTTTGCTCTTTTCGCCATATTTTTTCCTTATTTTATATATTTGCCATATTTTGCCTTATTTTTAGCATTTTACATATAATATTTTTCAAATTTTCGCGCATTGTGTAAATAAAATGAGAAAAAAACAAAGAAATAAGACTCTTGAACTTCATTTAGTCACATTTTCTATCTTTTATAATCTTACATACTTCTGTTTATGTTTAAATTACAAAAAAGTTAAGAGATAACTAATTTCGATAACTTTTATCCAGTTAAAAAATTTTTTAAACTTCTAGGATCATGATTTGACTAAAGATAATATTTTCTGGCATTTGTTTTATTTTGAAGTAAAAAATTTTGAGTGTAAGAAAGTTTTTTGTTGCCAAAAAGGTGATTTTTTCAATGTCGGTTAATTATTCTAAAAGTTTATTAAGATATATAATTAATCGAGCGAATTGTTTTAATTTTAAAGGGGTTAAGATACATAAAAAATTTATTTTATTAAACTATCTATTAAAAATCTTTGTAGAATATTAAATGTACATATTTAAGAAAGTATTTACCTAAATCATTTTGGGTATACCGAGTAGAGATCGGCCTAGGTCTGGACCAAAGCCTGGGTTTTTCCTGGACTACAAGCCCAGGATCCGGCCCAGGTCAATAAATCAAACCCAGAACCCAGGAACAGGCCCAGGAAATTTTTATGCCTGGTTTTCCTAGGTTAATTTTTTCCCAAAGATTTAATTTTTCTAGCAAAATTTTCATTTGAGCTTGATCCTAGATCCTAGAAATTTAAAAAAATTTTTACCTGGATAAAAGTTATCGAAATTAGTTATCTCTTAACTTTCTTGTAATTTAAACATAAACAGAAGTAAGATTATAAAAAATAGAAAATGTTACGGAAAATAGATTTACAAAAATAAAAAAATCGAAAATGTTAAAAATGTAATGTACTAAAAACATAGGCTAAGTAAATTGAATGTACGGTAAAGCGGTTCCTTAAAGTTACGTTCGAAATTCACTAAATGATTTTTACTCTATTTATGTATTAAATTTATTTGAAAAACGAATAAGAAGAAATTTATTTTCTAACTTGAAAGGGCAATGACAAAAGAAAATAATCGAACTGTCAGAAAAAATTTTTCAATTTACACACTGTACCATCGTTCAGAGCAGGGTGTCTCCCTTATCCTTTTCTTCTCTCTTTTCTTTGCTTAGAGTGGTAGAGTAAAAGTGCAAGCTTAAATTATTTTAATTTTATGTGTGAACAGTTAAAAATAAAATATACATAATATGGTCAAAAATTAAATCATTTAAAAATATGTACATCATTCAAAATCAGAGCTTCGATATAAGCGGGTTTTTCCTCATTTTGTGGTTTGTTATAGGTCGATGAGGATTATGTTTAAAAATGCGGATTTTTGTGGTCTTCTGAAGATTATGAGGATTTTTTATATCATTATTTTTCTGCTAAGACCTTCTAAAATCCTCTTATTTTTCGACTGCGCCGCTGAAAATGGAAGAAATCTGTTTTCTGGTTTTCTAAAATCCTATGAATTTTTTGCCTTGCGCAGAAAATGGAAGATTTTTGGTTTAAGGATATTCCGAAACATCGTTTTAATAATTAATTTTTAACAATAAAAAATTTTTAGTCGACCATTTTACTAAGCAAAGAAAAGGAAGAAGAAAGGGAAAGAAAAGGAAAAGGTGAAGAAAAGGAAAGAAAAGGGAGACTCCAAATTAGGATTGCCAAAATGGACCGACACGGACCAAATGATTGAGTCGGGCCTAGATGTTTGGCCCGAAAAAGACTCGTACCGGCCCGACTCGATAAAAACAAGCGCGAAAAAAATGCCTCGGAAAAATCTGGCCCGACCCTACTCCAAATATCCAAAAATCGAAAACTTTGAAGCTTTTAACTAGAGATCGGACCAAACAAATATTTGACGTTGGAAAATCAAATATTTGATCAAATATCAACTCAGACATAAAAATGAAAGGTGATAGTATAAAAATAAATTGTGTTCTAATAAATTGATTTATAAATTGATGGGAATAATTGAGAAAAAAATTTTATATTTTTGGTTAAAAATTAATAAAAGAACTTTTAATTATTTAAAAACTTATTTTCAAATTCTAAGCATAATTAAATAGAAGGTATTTTTTTCACAGTCGCGGACAGCGACAAGCGATAGTTTAAAGTTTAATTTTCATTTAGCTTAAATTCCTTCTATTGAAATTACTCTGCTTTTGTCCGATTTAAACCTAGGTTTTCCTTTATTTTTTATTTAAAATTATTTCTATTATATTACCTAAGCGCATCTGTTTAATTCCCTTATTTTGTAGGAAATATTCTGCAAATTTTCGCCATTCATTTACATTTTTCCCCCTTATAGAATGTTGTTCATCTTTCATTTTATACACCCGGGTGGCCTTTTTCAAAACACTAAAGTTAAGCACAGCCACTCAAAAAAGGGGCAAAAAATAGGGGAACATTCTAAAAACTTAAAAATAATTAAAAATTGGATAAAAAAGTGAGTAATTAAAGGTTCAAACTTTCATTAAAAGTTCGATAATATTCTGAAAATGTTCAATAGTTTCTGAAGTTCAACTCTTGGTCCTACTTATGTGTGAAATCCTTGGCCAAGAGATTCTAATTTGTTGTGCTATTTTGACACAATTTTAACATACATACGTATTTTCTCTTAAATAGTCCCCAGTGGGTATTTTTTTGATCGACCTCTAAATCTTTTTGATCGACCTCTAAATTTTAGAGAAAATACTGTATTTTAATTTTAAAAATTTCATTTTTACTTAATAAATAAATTTTTTAAATTATAAAAATATTAAAATATCTCCAAAAAATCTAAAAAAATTTTTCATAAAATTTCTTTTCATTCTTTAATAAAAACTTGATCAATCGCCTTTTGTAACATTTCATCAACTATATTTTCTACTAAGGCACTTTTAGGGTTTTCTTCGTTTTGATCATTTTCCTCATTTTTTTCTTCACATTTTATTTCTTTGGATAAAGAAAAATTACTAGAAATATTCATTAATAGAGGGGAAGAAGCTCCTGCAGTGTTGGAACTGTTTGTATTTGGTATAGAATGAATAATGCCAAAAGAGACACGGCGGCCACGATTTCTTTAAAAGTTTAATTAAAGTGAAAATAATTTTATGATTTTGACACTCTTAAATTGTTAAACCCAAGGCCAGCATAAGCGATTACTAACAGCTTACCATCTAGACTAGAGTTTGTCGAGGTCGAGGCATCGCCGAGGCAGAGGTCCTCGCTGATTTTTCAACCTCGACCTCGATTTTGCTGATCTCGGGCCTCGAAACCTCGTCTCGGTCCTCGCCCAGAACTTCGCAGAGGCTAAATATACACCCCTAAAAATAGACTTTTTTGTAAGAAATGGAAGAAATCTGGCTTCGTAGTCTTACAAAAATTAAAAAATTTTCGCTCGACTTCGCCAACTCGAATCTAGACTAAGGAAGAACTTTTTATGAGGGGAGGAAGTGAGGAGTCTAGCGAATTTAAGATTCTAGCGTAAAATTATTTACTTGTATCCACTTCCCTCGACATTCAAACAATGCTGAGGCTGTGGAGAAGGTGAGGGAGAAGAACAAATCTGTTCAGTTTTTGAATCAAATGAAGGAACACAAGATGGCGAGCGATCTACACGTTTTTTCTCTGTCACAGTTCGTGGTGATTGTACGCGGGAATCCCCTAAGGATGTAGCGGACGTTGCCGGTTCATCGGAGGTTGAGGAAGAGGAATATAATAGTGGAGAGAGGGGACTAGTGTTGCCTTTAGTTTGTGAATGATTTTGTTGCTGTTTTAATGTTAAAGGGTAATTAGCTGGCGAAAAGTCAGTCATTTTGGTAGGTCGAAAGTCTAAAAAAAGGAATTTTTTTATGTTTCTAATAACAGCCTTATTGTACCAGGAAAGCATTGATCCAGATTAAGAGAATAAATCTGATCCTGATCAGCTTTAAACCGGACATTTTTAATTCTTTGAATAGAACTTAAAGTTTGAATAGCATCCAAAGAACGAGCTGTTAATTTTTGCGCACCTTCTGAGCAGGTAAAGAAGCACTCGCCAATAAACATAAGGCTTAGCTGAAAGTTCGGGGATAATTAGAAAATATACATATTAGCAAGAAATATTGACGAAACGATATCCGTATTAATGTCGGACCTCATTATGAGGTTTATAAAAAAGTTTATCTTAAATTAGAATATCATTTAGGAAGACCCGCCACCCAGTGGCCATGCAAATATAAAAATGCCTTATTAAAAAATAAATTTATACATTAAAAGGAAGTGTTCTGTAGCTATCAATGCCAGAAAGCAAAGGCTGAAAAATTTGCACTAAAAAAGGCCAAACTCTCTTTAATGGACATGAGGGTGGGCTACAGTCAAGACCATCTTCAATTTGTTGTTCATTGCTGTCCCTTCTCTCTTGTAATTCTTCTTCCGCAGCCTCTTCTGTGTCTATTCTCCCAGAAAGTTCAATAACATTAGGTTCTCCTTGAAGACGAATTAGGGTGATTTTTACCTGAATTTTTTTGAAATTTAGATATTCTATTCTAATTGTTCCCCTCGCCCTATAAAATAATTGACAATTCATTCTATAAGTTGCTCTATAAAATATTGTCCCTTTTACTCAAGAAGGAATTGTTCCCTCCAAACTGTAGAATGGATCATCCCAAAATTTAATTTCCGAAACTAGAAGTTAATTTTGAAAACCCCGACCCGAACCTTTTCTCACCCCAGCCCGGTACCGTGTTATAATACCAAAAGCTTGAAATACCATCACTTGAAATACCAAAAGATTGAAATACCAAAAATTGTAATACCAAAAGCTTATAATACCAAACCCCCAAAAGCTGTTAAAATACCAAACCGTGGAAAAAAGCTTGAAATACCAAACCCCCAAATACTGTTAAAATACCAAACCGTGGAAAAAGACTTGAAATACCAAATAAATACAAAACTAAAATTTTTTGTTATTTCTGTTAAAATTTTTTGTTAAACTTTGTTGCTTCGAACTTCAAAATTTTTCCAACCACAAGTATGTTGTTGTTCCAATTGAATCTTCGCTGGAAAAACTGTTTTTGTGCTGCTACGGAGGGTAGGCCGGGCATGGTCTTCGCTACACGATGGCCGTGCTTCGCTGCGGTCGTGCTCGCTTCGCTCGCGGCGACCGTAGCGAAGCGGCGGCCGTCGTTCCGCTCGACATGCCCGGCTTCCTCCGCAGAGACAAAAACTTTTTTCCGCGTATTCGACTCAGCTCGACGAGCTCTTTCGAATGACATATAAATCACCCATCCCCCGTTCACGGGACAACTTCCCACGTTCACGGGACAACTTCCCCCGATCAATGAGTCAACATCCCCTGACATTGGAACGACACTTTGGTATTTCAACAGCTTTTGGGGGTTTGGTATTTCAAGTCTTTTTCCATGGTTTGGTATTTTAACAGCTTTTGGGTGTTTGGTATTTTAAGCTTTTTTCCACGGTTTGGTATTTTAACAGCATTTGGGGGTTTGGTATTTTAAGCTTTTTTCCACGGTTTGGTATTTTAACAGCTTTTGGGGGTTTGGTATTATAAGCTTTTGGTATTATAACAGGCTCCGCCCCAGCCCACCCTTCTTTCCCTTCCCTTACAAGTTCATCAGCTCGTAGCAAAACTCCATTGTTCCACTCGTATATATAATTCCATTCAACTTGTTCTTTCGCCATTTTAATCCAATCTCTAAATATCCATTCGGGGATTGTTCCCTTTGGAAACGCAAATTTAAACGTAACTTGGACATCTGATTCGCGTGGATAATTTGTCCAATGTAATGCCTAAAGTGGGAAATTTTTCGTTAATTTTCCAAATAAAATTTCCATACTGGTGCTTTAGTGAATAACTGCCGTTGTCCAGCAAAATCATTGTCTTGTTCAAAAGAGTCCAAAATTTCAAATCCCGATTCTTCAATTTCAAAGAATTTGTTTATTGTAGTCTGAAAATTTAGATGAAAATAATAGTGCTTTTAATTGTGTCCGTACTTCACTTCTAAATGCCCCTTGGGGACAAAAAAACTTATATTATCTTATAAGGAAGTGTATCTTAAATAGAGGATATTTAAGATACACTAAGGATATATTTAAAAACAAGCTCCTATATCTTCAATAGGGGCTAGGTTCCGATAAAATTTTAAAATTCTCATTACCTTAAATTGGGGTATCTTAAATTGAGGTTATCTTATAGTAAGGTTAGACTATATCATTTATAAAGAAAATTCTTCTTGCCATTAGCTCGGGTTCATCAAAATAGGCAAGTGCACAACACAAATCACCAACTTCCTTAAACTCCTCCATCCATTGCTGAGTACGTTCTAGTTGTTCTTGTAAAGCCTCACTTTCTCCAAAACGTCTAATAATTTTTTTATAATTTTAAAAGTCCTCAATTCCTCTACCTAAGTCTGTCTAATTGCCCACTACCCCATTGTTCTGTCCAATTTTTTCTAATAATTTCCATTTGTTCTCGAAGACATTGTTCATCATCTTGGGAATGTTCTTTCTTTGCTATTAATATTTTCATTATTGGCTCTTCTTTTTCAGAAAGAATTTTATTCGAAAATGAACCTCTCTATAATAATTAAATTTTATTTAAATATAAATTTCCCATTAATTCTGATTAAATTCTGATTTATTTTATTTAATAAAAATTTCAATTCTGATTTAATTTTAGTATAAAAATTCTAAATTACTTATAATTCTGCTTTAAATTCTGGTCACCTTTTTAATTATTTCTGATTTCGATTTAATTCTTATTTATTTATTTCCTGGTTCTGATTTAAAAACCAATTATTTGATAAAATTCTGATTTTATTTTTGTTCTAAAATTCTGATAAAATTTTCTAATTTCTGATTTACTATACGAATAATTATTTCTGAAATAATTCTGATTTATCTATATTAATTCGTTGTAGGTATTTCTATTATTTTTAATTAAATTCTGATTTTATAAAAGAATAATTCTGATTTAATTCCACAAATCACAGCTCACCAACCATAGCCAGCGAAAATCTAAACAAATCAGAAAAGCACTCAATCGCTGCCTGACTTTCCTCAAAACTTCTTTTCCCCATTAAAATCATCCAATTTCTACAAATTTCAAATTTTCCTTCTTTTTTATTTTCTTCTGTTTCTGACATTATTTGTGTTGACACAAAATCATTATTTATTAGATTTGTATTAATTTGGCCGAGTAAACGACTGCGGGCTTTTATGGGGGAATTAATTGTTTTGTCGGTGTTGGGAGGTTTTGGCATGTTCTGAGTCATTAATTCCTTTAATAATTTTTTGAATATATTTGAAAAATAATTTTTAGAAATTTAATTTAAGAAACAGAATCAAGACGCAATAATACACCCTAAAGAGACTACTGAAAAGTTGTCTAAATGAAAAAAATTTTCCCTCAATAACTAATTAAAGCTCGGTCGTGTTAGAAATCCCATTAAAGATGCATTGACTAATTGATGGTGGTAAAAAGTAAAAAATTGGGGTGCCTTATAATTTTGTAACACACCATAGTACAAGCCTGCCTAAGAAGGCCCTTCTAAAAATAAACGCCAACTTCCTAATTGAAGCCCATTCCCTAAGAGCTTAATTAAATAGCGTTATCTCTTTATAAGCGAATAAAAGCTTAATTAATTTTATTTTTAATCTTTTTTAATTTTTTATTATTTTCCCCAGAAATTACATAATATTTCATTTTTATTACTAACCAAACGTTCCAACAAATTTTCATTGTCACTGAGTATAGTCAACATTTTTATGTTGCTGTTAATTAATTAAATTGTTGTATATTTATTAAATTTAATTTATATTTTTTTTGTTTCTTTTTTTTCAAAAAAAAGACTTTTCAAAAAACAATTTTTTGTTTGACTAACTAAAAGCTTTATTTTGTCAATTTTGGCAATTTAGAAGAATAAACTATGCAAAAAATGAAAAAAGGAAAGAACGGGGTAAAAGGAAAATGAAAAATCTGGAAAAACTAAAAAAAGAAAAGGAAAAATGTGTTAAAAAAGTTAAGGGGAAGAATATACCAATTTGGATGGTTATTCATTGAATTGGAATTTTTTATTGGAAAATATTTTTTAAAAATTTTTTGGGGTCTTTGAACATTTTAAAAATTATTTTAATTTTATTTTGCTTTCAAAAATGTTTTATTTAAGAATTCAAACAATTTTTTAAATAAAAGGTCTCAAACACACAATAACGAACACACATTACAGCACCAAACTTTCACATATTCCTGCGCCTAGGAAAGGTCAGTAAAAAATGAAGACTAATATATGTAGAAGGATTGAGAGCCTTCATCTAATCACGGCTACACCAAAGGTTGGTCGAAAACCAATATGATATACTAGAGGAGTGTCTGGTTTCAGACATCTCCAGCATTTCACACCAACTTTAGAGCTACACCCAACTTGGTGTTGATAAGGGTTGGAAACCATTTAAAAAATATATGAGAGCACAGAAAAATTTTCTAGAGGTCATTTTGTAAAAGGGCTAATAAATATACGGTAACATTGCTTCTGAATCAGGATTCTGAAAGGAAATTCAAAGTCAGACCGATCTCCATCTAACTAAAAAAGAATAAATTATCTGACCAAATAGGAAAGAATATACTAAGAATTCTATCTATAGCAATCACAAGCATTAAAGAATAAATATTGAAAGAACCAGCTATTGGCAAAATATCAATTAAAGCGCATAGCCATAAAGGAACATCTATTTTGGTAATCATTATAATAAAGGGTGGAAGTATTTGAATTTTTGCAAGAATGCAACAAGCTGCGTAAATACCAATTAATTTATGGCAGGTCCCTTGAAGTTTTCTTAAATAAATTTAAAAATAATATGATAGTTTGATAATTTTATTTTTCAAAGTTAAATACTGCTCGAAATTAAAGGAAAAGCCGGTTTTTATTCTCAGTTAAGGATTTTCTGTACGCAGGACATTTTTCAGTTGAGACGTTTATATAATTTAAAAGGATTAATCTCTTATTGTCGATGACGAAATTGAAGAATTAAAGATTTGAAATATTTTTGATATTTTTTATTTTGTTTATTATTTTTGGAGGTGACTCAGTGAGTCACTTTCCATTTTTGACAATTTTTTATGTACTTTTTTGCAATGTACTTAACATTGCATCATTTTTATATAGAAATTTTTGCCTATAAAAAGTAGGCAGAAATTTCACTTTTCAATGTCTTTTTGAAATATTCATTTTTTATAATATTCTGTGTGAATATTTTTTGATTGAAGATAAAGATTTTTTTGTATTTGTGTTAAATTTATTTGTTTATTTATCTAGATTAATTATTCTGTTGAATAATTAATCTGAGATATTTTCCCTATAAATTAAATAGGAAGGTAAAAAGAAAATCCTCTCTGAGGATAAATATTTTTTACATTTGGTGCCACGAACCCTTACGAAGGAGGGAGTGAGATTTAAAAATAAAAGAATAATAAAGAGCTATAGGCTCAGATTATTGGAAGAGCTATATTTTGGAAAGCTCGTTAAAAATTTTTTAATTGAAAATTAAAATAAATAATTAAATTTATAGTGTTTTAAAAATGTCGGGGACTATACGGCAAGCCATGACGCCGGCTATAACTCGTTTACGCGAACATTTTGAGGAGATTCGCCCGGTTTTAGACGCCCAAGAGCGCACAGCTGAAGGAATAGAAATGTTAAGGACAAGATTAGTTAAAGTTCGACGTATAGTAAATCGTCTTGAAGAAAAAGCCAATCAGTGGCAAGATTATATTCGAGGACTTCCAGCTAATGAAAGACAAGCGGAAGAACAGGTTTTAGCTAACTTTGCTCCATTGGAGCATCATTATGCGGAATGGATAGAGAACGCGCATGAACTAATTGCAGATATTGAGATTGTTTTGGCTGAGTCTGAGGACGGCAGCACTCAATCCGATTTGTCAGTAGAGTTGGGAGTTGGCCAAAATAGACTGAATCAATCAAGAAGGCCACAAGTTTTTGTAAATGAAGGGCAGACGCCGTTAAATGAGAATTATGTTCGTAGGAATGAGTATAATATTCCTACACATTTGCCTAGAACTAGATTAGCTGAGTTCTATGGAGATCCTCTTGTTTGGCCAGAATTTTGGCAATCATTTAGTAGGACTGTTGACAGTTTAGAAATTGATCCAGGCCTTAAAGCACATTATTTAATACAGTGCTTGAGAGGAAAGGCCAAGAGAGCGGTTTTGGGTTATCGACCGATAGCCGAACATTATGAACCGCTGAAAGACGCATTAAAAAGGCAGTTCGGCAATGAAAGAGCTATAAGAGATACGCTTCATGCCGAATTGATAAGCCTTCCTGTGGCAAATGAGTCTGTTTATTCCCTTCGTTCATACGTTGAGGAAGTTGAAAGAATTTGTAGATCCCTCACAGCGATGGGAAAAGTCGAAGATGAATCTATAGTTATGATGGCAATTAAGAATAAATTGCCAAAAAATATTATTTTAGAATTATTAAAAAAGGAAAAGGAGACAAAAGCGATTTGGAATGTAGATGAATTAAGAAAAGGTTTAGAAGAAATAGTAACGCTTAGAGAAGAAGTACAAAGGTGTGCTCAAACATTTTCTAAGAGCGTTAATTATGGTCAACAAAGGTTTGGAAATAATTGGAATAATAATAGAGGATTTAATCAAAAGCAAGTTAATTTTAGAAAGGAAAATTTTGATCGTGTATTTGCAGTACAATCAGGTGATGATAAGGCCAAAAATAACAAGAAGTTTGAGATCTTTTGCTATTTTTGTCATGGAAATCATCACGCTGAAAAATGCGAAATAATAAAAGCAATATATTTGAGGACAAAAATTTTGTCAGAGCAAAATCGTTGCCTACTCTGTTTAAGAAAGGGCCATAAAGTGGAAAATTGTGAGTCCAGAATTAATTGTAATATTTGTAGAGAACGGCATAATAAATTAATATGTCCGAAATTGTATAAAAATGGAGAAAATAAAAAAGATTTTAGAAAAGTTGAGCAAGTAAATCAAATAGAAATTTCTAAAAATTTACTTACTATTGTAGAAGAACCAAAAGAGTTTGAAAAAGAAAAGAAAGGACAGATTAAGGAAGATGAAAGTGTTAATCAAATAAATAAAAATATACTTAATAATGAAGATAATGGCGAAGGAAATGTTGTTTTAATGAAAGCAGACTTAATGTTGAAGGAAAGAAATAATAAAATAAATGTAAAATGCTTCTTTGATTCAGGAGCAACGGTTAATTTCTTATGTAATGAAATAGTTGAGAAATTAAAATTGAAAAAATTAAAAAGGACAGAATTAGGCGTTGTGCCATTTTTCAGAAAAGAGCCAATAAAGCTAAAAACTTCGTGTTATTCTTTAAAGGTTCTTCTTGATAATGGAAATTTTGAAGAAATAATTGTTTATAGTATTAAGAAGAACTTGATGCCAAGATTTAAATGCGCAGATTTAAGAACAAATGAAATAGTCTGCGCAAATATAGTCCCTGATATGCTTATAGGGATGAAGCATTTTTGGAGGTTCTTTAAAAGAATAGAGCCTTTATCCGATTATTTATTCAAAGTTGAAACAACTGTCGGACCAATAATTTGTGGTGAAATTAGCGGTGAAAAATTTAAAAGATTAAATAAGAAAGAAAATTTGTGTACAATATTAAGTTCAAATACTTTAGAAAACGAGGAACTTAACAATTATTGGTCATTAGAGACAATAGGAGTCAAAGATGATCCTGTATGTAAAGATGATAAAGTGGCTTTAGACTTATTTAATAGTACAATTAAAAGAAATGAAAAAGGAAGTTACATAGTAAAATGGCCATGGAAAATTGAAAAAGACAGTTTGTCATCTAATTTTTCATTGGCATATAAAAGATTTCTAAATCTCATGGATAAATTAAAAAAGAATCCGGATTTATTAGATAAATATGAAGAAATAATTAATAATGATTTAGAAAGAGGTGTGATTGAAGAGGCTGAAAGGAAGAAAGGTGAAATAGAACATTTTCTGCCTCACCACCCAGTTATTAATACAAAAAAGGTGCGAATAGTTTATGATGCCTCGGCAAAACTTCGAGAAGGAAAAAGCTTAAATGAATGCTTATACCGAGGGCCAATAATTATGCCAGATTTAGCAGGATTGTTAATTCGATTCAGAGTGCCAAAAATTGCCATGTGGGCAGATATTGAGAAGGCATTCCATACATTAGAATTGGAAGACGAAGATAGAGAAGTAACCAAGTTTATATGGGTTAAAAATACTAAAAAACCCATATCAACTCAAAATATTCGGTATTTAAGATTTGTAAAAGTTCCCTTTGGGGTTATTTCTAGTCCATTTTTGCTATCAGCGACTGTCAGACATCACTTAGAGAAATGTGATGACCCAGTTGCAAAGATTGCTAAAGAAAATTCCTATGTGGATAACATATTTATTGGAGTAGAAACGGCCAATGAAGCTTGGCTCGCATACAAAAGATTAAAAGAGATATTTAAAGATGCACAAATGAATTTGAGAGAATTCATTAGTAATAATATGGAGCTTAATGAAAGTTTCCCACTCGAAGATAGGCTAGAAAAGAATAAGCCTAAAATTTTGGGAATACCATGGGACACATCTAAAGATAAGATAAATATTGTTTTTCCAAAAGTGGAATTAAATGAAAAAATAACTAAAAGGATAGTTCTTAGTGAACTAGCAAGTATGTTTGATCCTTTAGGACTTGCATCTCCTAGTCTTTTATCAGCAAAATTGTTCTTTCAGTCTTTGTGGACTAAAGAGAATAAATGGGATGATAAGATTAGTGTCGAAAATGCAATGAAATGGAAAGAAATCACCAATTCATGGATAGTAGATCCCATCGAAATTCATAGAAGAGTTACTGATATTAAAAGCGAAAAACAATTACATGCATTTTCTGATGCATCAAAATGTGCTTATGCTGCTTGCATATATATTAAATCGGAATTTGAAGGAAAAATTCATACACAAATATTATATGCGCGAAATCGTTTAAAACCTAGAAAAGCAGAGGTTACAATACCACGCATGGAACTTTTAGGCGTGGTTATTGCTAAAAGAGCTTTAGAATTTGTAGAAAAACAAATCGGAGTTGAAATAAAAGACAAATTTTTTTGGTGTGATTCAAAGCCAGTATTAAGCTGGATAAAGGCCGGAGGTAAAAATGAAAAATTTGTAGAAAATAGAATAAAAGATATAAGAAAAAATGGAATAAAATTTGGTTATGTTAATACTATTGATAATCCAGCAGATATAGCCACTCGCGGCATAATGGCATCTGAATTAGAAAAATGCCGTATCTGGTGGGAAGGCCCTGATTGGTTAAAGAGACCTGAAAATAATTGGCCACATGAATTAAATTTTGAAATTGAAAATGAAAACGAGTGTGAAGAGGATAATCAGGAATTAATATTAAATTGTTTAAATAAAAATATAGATGAAGAAGAAAATCTAATAAATTTTAATAATTGGAATTCATGGAATAAATTAATTAAATGCTTTATGTTTGTAAGTATAGCAGTTCGTATCTGGATAGAAAAGAGCAGAAAAATTATAAAAGGAAAATTTCTTAGCGAAATAAATTTAGAAAATCGTATGTCAGCAAGTAATTTCAAAAAAGTTGAAATTTTTATTTTAAGAATTGCGCAAAGTTCTTACAAAAAAGAAAAGAACGAAAATTTACAGAAAATAATTGATGAAAATGGATTAATAAGATTAAAAACAAGGATTAGTAATTGTGAAGCAGAAGATTATTTTAAACATCCGATTTTACTGCCTAAAGGGTGTTTTGCCATTAAACTTTTATTGAGAAAAATACATGAAGAATTGAGTCACTCGGGAGTTGACTCAACAGTTGCAAACTTTTTAATGAAATTTTGGACGCCATGTGCAAGGCGCATAACTAAAATTGTTATAAAAGAGTGCAAAAAGTGCCAAAGAATCAGTTCGCCAAAATTTGCATTGCCAGATATGTCTATATTGCCTAAAGAAAGAGTAAGACAATCACGTCCATTTGAATTTGTTGGAGTGGATTATCTCGGCCCTTCTATGTGCAAGATAGAAGGAGAAAAAGTTAAATTTTGGATTGCGCTCTTTACATGTTTATCTACAAGAGGAATCCATTTAGAATTAATTACTGACCTAACTGCGCTTTCATTCTTAGATATTTTAAGAAGATTTGTAGCGCAAAAAGGCCCACCAGTAAAGATAATATCGGATAATGGCAATCAGTTTATAACCGTTGCAAAAGTAATAAATGCCAATATTGAAGGTAAATGGAAGAAAGAAAAGGCTAATAATGAAGAAAAGATATTTAGTAATTTTTTATTAGAAAAAGAGATTGAATGGAAGTTCATACCTGCTCTGTCTCCATGGCAGGGTGGCGTTTATGAGCGTTTAGTAAAATTAGTTAAAGATTCATTTAAAAGATCTTTGGGAAGTCGAATATTAAATATAGAAGAGTTAAGAACATTTATAAAGGAGGTAGAAATGTCTATAAATTGTAGACCTATTTCTTACATATCGGTAGAAAAAGACGGGCCATCATGTTTAAGGCCAATAGATTTTATAATACCAAGTGTGGAAATTATTCAAAAATTTCCAGAAATTGAAGACGATAATTTTCGAATAGGAAAAATGAGCACGGCTGAACAAGTCCAAGAAAGATGGATAGCCACTTTGAAAACGCTTCAAAAGTTTTGGGATGTCTGGAAGCGTGATTATCTCATAATGTTAAGAGATAAAGCAAAGTGGACACATCATAATCAAAGGAATGATTTAAAAAGAAACCCAAGAATTGGCGAAGTGGTTATTGTCCATCAAGAAGGACAACCTCGTAATGTATGGCCATTGGGAAAAATAGTGGAATTGGATGGCAATCCAGCCAGAAGCGCAAAGATTAAAATAGGAGATAAAACTTTCATACGTCCTATTAATAAAATTTCTCCTCTAGAAATTGAAGATGAGAATATAGTTGAAGAAAATTTAAATAATGAGAATGAACAAGAAGATATATTGGACTTGAGTAAAAGAGAAACTAAAAAAGTAGAGATTAAAAATAAAAATACTCATCCGATGGTTACAAGATCGAAAGCGGCTTTGTGCCTACAATTTATGCAATTAATATATTTAATTGCATTTGCATTTGCTCAACCACCAAGATATATAAATTGTAAAGGTTGTTTTATGAAGTGTAGAACCTTTGGCGTTGAAGCTAACGCAGTTGATTATATAAATAAAATTGAATTATGTTGCGCTGGAAGCTGCTTATTAGAGATAAATGGCTTGTCAAGATTAGCATTTAGAATTCCAAAAGATAAAACAGCATTGGATTATAAATGCCGAGCCACTTATTGGGGCAAAAGATACATGTACAGAGACTGGATCTCATGTCCAGCTGTTGATCCATGCATTAGAATATCAGGCTTACGTGAAAGAATAGTTAATCCTCAGTGCGAATCAATAGAAAGTTTATTATTGATAGGGATTATAGCAGGATTTATTCTGACTATTATTCTATCAATAGCACTATTTGCCTGTAAACTCTTATTGATTTTCGGAAAATTATTAAAAATAATTTGGAATATTGTTAAAATGCCGATGGAAGTATTTTTTGCGCAGAAGAAAAATAGACAAAAAGATATAACTGAAAAATTATTATTGAATAATAGAAATAAAACCAAAAACAATAAAATGACAAAGAGAAACAGAAGATTGAATAAATTAAGTTTTATGGCATTATTAGCTATATTTTCTATCTTTTTGGAATTAATTAATGGAGAAGTT